TCCGACGGGGCTGCCGGCTCTTCCAGCCCGGCCCCCAGGAGGATATCTGCTTATCAAACCCCTCCTGTCCAACCTCTGTTGTTGCTTTCTAGCCTGCCTACCAGAATTTGAGACAGCGTGTTGACAACTTTGTTTCCAATCATTTGGCAACTCATACCTGGAGTCCTCATCTCAACAAGAACCAGCTGAGAAATAACATTAGGCAGCAGGTTCTCAAGTAAGTGACAGCTCTGGACTTTCTGTGTTTGGACATGCTCATGTACCATGAGAGATGACAGAGGCTCTAGGTCAATTGTAAACTGTGTGCTTTCTTCAAAGAAACTTCTTAAGAAGTGGTTTTTTAGCGTTTAAAACGTGGTATTGTTCCAGATAGCAACTCACCATCAGCATTAGTCAGAGTTAGACTAACTAACTAACAAAATGTTATTTTGTTTGATCCAGGTTGATGCAGGGGTGGAAAGCATGTGTCTGACTTGGGATGTAACACCCTAGCTAGTCTATCTTTACCGTCTCTTTTAAGGAGATAATAGTAAAGTTGCGTTATCGAGTTTTGAGCTAAGGAAAATTAAAAGGATTTGACAAACCAAGCTTTGTGGACCACAAAGCTAAATTCACAAAACAAAAAAAAAATGGTTGTAAATCTAGCGAAGACAGAGAAGAGGTTTCTCAGAACTGTTGTTACATCAAAATTATGTCAGACACTTACCTGATGTCACGTTGTTTCATGGGGGGTCCTCTAGTTTTTCCTCTCAAAACTTAGAGTCATAAGAAATACTAGGAAATTTCTTAAAAGTAGCATGAGTTTGGTCACTAAACTGGGTCAAACAGGGTATTTGGGAGTGAACTTACTCATTTGTGCTGTAGTGGTAACATTGATAACTGGTACTGAGAAGCTGTTAAAGAAGCAGTGAGGACAAAAGGCAGTACATGTTCCACAAAAGATTACAAGGGTCTAGAGAGAACCCATAGATACAAAGCTCTCTATTCCCATTTATTGGATTTTACTGAAGATTAAGGATGTTCTGTAAAGCTGCAGAACTCTGAGGTGTCATACTGTGTTAGGCAGAACGTAATTTAGGGTGGCGATGACTGGTCTAGTAGTTGTTTGTCCCTTGTGCCTTTTGTAATTCATCTATTTTATGCCATGGGAATCAGTAACATCAGGTTTCTTCTCAATTTTTTCCACAAATGTCACTTTTACAGTTGGGTAAGATTTGTAGGCATAACCAGTAATGATATAACAGGCTGTTGTGTTAATTCCATGTGGTTGGATTGCTTTGTTTCTCTAGCATTTTTCTTCTTAGTTCATAAGGCATAGAGCGAGCTGTTGAAATACAGGCAGCTGGCTAAATACATAGCTGCAGTGATGCTCAGAAAATGTTAATGCTTCATTGGAGGTTCTTAAGAGTGTTTATGTCACATCTAAATGAGCATACTTCATTAAGATGTTCTTAAAAAGTCATTTTTCTTATTAAATATTCATGTAACTTTGTTCCAGGTCTGGAATGTTGGAATCTGGAATTGACAGAATTATTTCTCAGGTTGTGGACCCAAAGATCAACCACACGTTCAGACCTCAGGTGGAAAAAGCTGTCCATGAATTTTTAGCCACATTGAATCACAAAGAGGAGGCAGGCTCCAGTACAGCTCCAAGTGAGGAGAAAACAGATGCTTCTATTACAGTACAAGGTATTCTACCATTTCTCTGAGCAGTCTATTAACAAAAATTTGTTTTTTGAGAGAGAGCAGAAACATTGATTAGGTTTGCTGATGGCACATAATTGTTAGCATCGGTATTAACAAGCTGAGCTCCTGGCAGCGTACCATAATATTTGTCTCTTGCTGTATGTATAAAGATAGAAGGGAAGAGAGATGTCGCCATGTACCACCATGTCACTCCTGTCACTTCTGCTTGAGATTACAAGGCATCAATTTATCGTAAGGAAAAAAGTTGATCTCGGGGTTTGGCCCCCTTAAGTATTACAGGATCAGATAAGACATAGCTGTTAGAGAAGAATGATTCAATTTTTTATGTGTTGGTGGATCGGACAAAAACTACATGAGAGACAGTTACCTGTCTTAATGCAGTTGCTGTGTGCAGTAAGATTTGAACGGCTGAGGTCTTCTCAGGAGCTCAAGTTCTGCTGTAAATCAGCCAATCTTTAGTTTGTTTATAAACACAGCACTCTTTCTTTACGGTTTTCATATATGTTGCCTGGTATCAACTTCTAAACACTCCTGCAGGTAATTGTCCATTCTTTCCCTTCCTAAAAGACTCCACAGCAGTCCATCTATTTGTAACCAGACCCTTTATTTAAATCCTAGCCCTTTTCCTGTGAGGCCCACTTCCTTTAAAGTAAGTGGGTTAACAAGCCAGCTGCAGCTCTTAGTGCTAGTCCAGTTAACCCTTTCTCATCCATCAACAGAGTTGCTTCTAAGAGGATGGGAAGGTGATAAGGTATTTCTGATAATCCTATTGTTATACAATCACTATGCTGAGTCCATTTTCCATGTTGTTATGGAGATACCAGGGGTATGAAATACAGACTTTCTGCTGCAGTATTCTGTATTGTACTTCTCCAGAGTCATCATCCCACTTGGGATGATGGTGAAGTTGAGCAAGGATTGTGTTCAGAACATCCTTCCCACAGACAACCTCTGCTTTCTTTAGCTGATACGAGGAACAGTGGTATGTCACAGAGTAAATTGAGTGTCCGGTAATCAGATCATAATTGCTACAAGAATGCAACTTCTTGGTCTCTGGTTTGTTTTTTTTTTCTTTTAACCCAAAATCTCTAAATATAAAATGAGCTAAACCTTTTACGTTAATTTTGTTTAATTTAAATAGAGTAATTATTCTTTATTTCACTTTCTTAACATTTTGTCTGAACAGAATTACAGAAACTAGGAAGAACTAAAACTATTTTCTTTCTTACTATTCAAGGTGTCTCTGCTACAGCTCCTAGTGGCAATGTAGCTAGTGATGCAATGTCCATTTTGGAAACAATAACTTCTCTTAACCAAGAAGCAAGTGCTGCCAGAGCTTCAACAGAGAACTCAACTGCCAAGAACAATGACAAAGTCGCAAAAAGACTCTCATCTCAGCAGAGTGTGGATGGTAGCACTGATAGAGAGAGAAATGCGGAGGACTTGCCAGACAGAGAGAAAGCAATTTGTGATCCTTCTGGAGAAGGGGCTGAAACGTTTGCAAAGTGTGAAGATTCAAATGAGCTTCCCTGCCAAAGTGAAGAAATTAAAAATTCAGCAAAGGATACTAATAATTTGACTTTTACAGGTAAAGATACAAGTAAAGAAATTCAACAGGAAAGTGAAGATCAAAAGAGTAAATTATTAGATAAGGGTGACAAGAAACCAGACAGCAGTGAAAAAGGTGAAAGAAGAAAAGAAAAGAAGGAAAAACTTGACAAGAAGTCTGACCATTCAAAGAAAAGTGATGATACTGTGAAGTCAAAAGAAGAAAAGCAAGCAAGAGAGTCGGAGCCAGTGAAACAGTTAGTTCCAGAAAAAAATAGCAATAAACATAAAACAACTGAAAGCACTAAAGAAAGTAAAGAAGGTATGGTGTGGGCAATGCTCTTCCTTAAAGGTATATTTGGAATGTAGGTTCTCTGCTAGTTCTGGCAAATTTGTCTCGGAAGCCACAGGTAGGGCATGGTTCATCTCCCTTAACCAAGGTACCCACGTTAGGAATCAGGTGAGCTTTGATTCCTCAAGTGTGTGATTGGTCATCTGCCTTACTTTGGCAAGTTCACTCAACAATTCCAGTCTACATTTAAAGTTTCTAGTTGTACCTCAGGGTGACTCTTGTTTTGAGTAAACCAATAGAGTTAGCCTAATAACGTTTCATTAAGATGGTACAGATTTTTATTTTTATTTTTTCCTATTTATTGTTCTTAAAATAATTTTGTTTTCAGTGGCAAAATCACTGTTTTGGTAAGAGAAATTTCTCAAATACTGTGTGCTGCATTACAGCCCTTTCTTTCTGTTTTTTTCCTTTGCAAGAAAATACGTCAGTAGATTCAGATATGGATGTACTCAGTGACATCACTGTCAGCTCTGTCCATACCAGTGACCTTTCTTCCTTTGAAGAGGAGAGTGAAGAGGAGACTGTAATTTCTGACAGTACTGAAGAGGGAGAGATCACATCAGATGGTAAAATAATTAGATTGTTAAGCAACGAGAAAGAATATGCAACACTTTCGCTGAGTGCATCATATCATAAATTTGAGGGTTTATAGTATGTTTTATTGTACTTATGAGAAAGAATTTGAATGTGGAATGGATAGTATTTGTGCTATTACGAAATACAAGTAGTGGACATGCTTTGAATATTTATTTTTAATTTATATTCTAAACATTGTAAATCTTATTTGTACCTCGGTATTTCATAGGTGACAAAAACACATAATGGTGATGGATATGTTGCTTTCCTGTGGGTTTTTTTCCCCCCCTCCCTTCTGCCATGAACTTAGTGTACATTAGAGTGCTTTGTTTGTGACCCCAGGGTAGCGGTTCCAGTTGACTTTGCAGATCAGGTTGGTTTTGGAGCTTTAGGATTGTAGGAATGTCCAAATTTTACCTTGACACAGTAGAAGGAACAGGAATGGATCTAGCTTTAATACCTTGGAAACACTAGATCTTTTCACTGACTGGTTGTGCTTTCCTTGTCTAGAGCAGACCTCAGGCTCCGATTTCTGCAGATAAGTGGCTTTTGCAGTTAATAAGACTTTCCACTTCATAATACAGAATGCCTTAGTATGTGAATGAGTTGTCTCTAGTATGGTATGAGCTTATCTTTTCTGCTCTAAGAATATTTATTTAGAAACACTGAATTACTTGCCTATTCTCTGACTGGTGTTACCTTTAAATGTGACAGATTGTTTTCAGTTATAAATAAATATTTGTGAAGTGAAAACAAGCCTTAAGTATATTTCAGGGATATAAATAATTTGTACAGTATGGAGCACAAGTGGTTTTGCTGTGTTTCTGATAATCCTGATAGAACTGAAATAGATTTATTAAATTTTTACTTGAATAATACTTAATATTAAGCCCATCTAGTTTTTAACATTCAAATACTGTACAAATTTTTTTGTGTATGGAAGAAGCTTAATTTAATACATAGCAGAAATTATGTTCTGACTTCTTACACGGTGTTACCTACTAAATACTACATGTAAAAAGGCAGTGTGATTACAGGCAAGAGGGTAAGCCCAGTTGTTGTATCCCACTTTATTCTGGGGTTTGTATCTTGCAACTTTTTGGCTGAGTGATGTGCGCAAACGCGTGAATATACCTTTCAGGTTTTCATAATGTAGTGATACTTTGATGTTAAAGGATTTAATTTTTTAACTGTTTGTTTTTAGGATAAATAACTGTTAATAAATTTTGAGTAGCTTTGCCTCCTCAAAAGTGACATTGAAAGCCCTGTCCTAACTTACCAATCTCTCTCTACACTTCACTAATTTTTCTTCAGATGAAGAGGAGAAACACAGTCAAAGTAAGACAAAGCCTCATGCTAATGAGCTGAGTGATGGGAAAGCCAAGCCCGTCCGTCATGCTTATGTTCGCAAGCCATTCTTGTACTCCAAATACTTCAGCGATTCTGATGATGAACGAACTGTAGAACAACGCCGTCAGTCCATTGTAAGTGTGGATTTTGTTACTGCTCGCATTCTGGCTCCTTAAACTTTTCAGTACAAAAATTGCACTTCTTATTTGGTGGTGGTTTGTGAGGAGGAGTCATCTGTTTGGTTTCATTTCATTATTATTTTTTTTTTCCCCTCCTTTTGTTAAAACTGCTCCTCCTTCAGAATTCCACCAATACTGCATGATCTGCTCTCCAGTGAAGCACTCTGCTGGTTATAGTTTGAAAGTTTCAGGTGATGAAAGCAATGACACACTTTTCCATCTTTTTCCTCTTGCTTTAAAATGAATAGTCTTTTAGTGTTGACAAGAGGATTTACTATTTACATGCAGTGTTTTGCATTCTTTCTCAACTGAGTGATTTGATGGGGAGAGTAAGAACTGTTGCACATATGAAAAAGCTGGTGTTCAGTAGATTTAATGTATATAATGACAATTTGGGTGGGAAAAGTAGCTCATATCTACCTGCAGCCTGCATTCAGCGGGGTTTCGTGCTGTTTGGGCTTGTGTTGACTACTGCAGGTTACTTCATTACATCATCTCTTTACCAATGTAGTTCTTGCTGTCTATGAAATCAGTAGTTTGTGGCATGTCTGCAGCCATTGAGAATGGAAAGAGAAGTTTAAGCCTGTTCACTGTGTTCTGTGGAAGAAAGACCAGCACACAGAAGAAGGAGCAGCAGTTCTTGTAGATCTTTTTTCCTTTGGCTAAATATGTATTTTTTAATAGTTTTATATATATTTAATATATATACACACACACAGTATGTATATATTTTATGTACCTATAAATAAAAAATAAGATAGATTCTTTGAGAAGGTCTCATAGCCTCAGTTTGCGGTGTTAAGCATCAGTGAAACTCTGGAACTCATAGGATTCCATTAACTTTCATATAGTGATTTCTAAGGACTATTTGTTTTGTTTTCTTCAAGCTACAATGTTCTGTTTTCTGTAGGTTTTAGACATACATTTGTAGTCAAAGAATACTCTTTGATTTAATGATAAATTAATTATTCTCCTTTGTTTTGTATCTCCAGGCCAAAGAAAAGGAAGAGAGACTCCTAAGACGACAAATTAACAGAGAGAGACTTGAAGAGAAACGTAAACAGAAGGCTGCAGAAAAAACAAAATCGCTAAAAACTGGAAATCAAAATGCTAAAGGTATGAGAAGTATAACATTAGCCCCTGCTGCCCTGCTTTTGCTCTCTCACTCACTCTGGAAAAAACCATTCAGGTTAAAATATTGGTAATAGGTCTGTAGTCATTTCCCTAAAAAACCCAACATTTCAACAGTGATGTAACAGAAAAATGTATAATGCAAATCATTAATACAAAATTCCATATCTTCACTTTTTCATATTTCCTTTCGTATATCATTACATTGCTTAAACACAATAAATTCCTATATACACCAGTATTATTAGTACTGTCGTGACTGAAAGCAGTACAGTTTATAGCTGAAACAGTAATATAATGGCATGCTTATGTATTTCACCATTTGTGTATTTTAGGAAAAAGTGGCTTGAACATAGAAGAACCTTCATCAAGAATTCTTGAGTCAAAAGCTACTGGTACCAGCATTAAGGATGTGCTTAAAGAACAGAAATTTTTAGAAAAAAAAGTAGCCTTGAGCAGAAAAAGAAAGAGAGATTCAAGGTATTAATGTATTTGCTAAAAAGGAATTAAGTTTTTGAATATTCATTTTTGCAGATTGAAAAGATTCTCTTCAGCTTTGCAGTTTAGCCTCACACATTTTAACAATTTCCTCTTAAAGTCATAGAATCATAGAATGGTTAGGGTTGGAAGGGACCTCAAAGATCATCTAGTTCCAACCCCTCTGCCATGGGCAGGGACACCCTCCACTAGACCAGGTTGCCCTTATTCACATTATCCACAATAATTCATGTAATTCACAATTATTCACATAATTTTGTTAGTAATAAGTATGAAGTTCTGGCAGAAAATCAAATTATGTGTGCTTAAATACATTGCAGCTCAAGACTGCAGTAGCAGCATTTATGTAGCATTTCACACACAGAATCGTAATAAAGGCATGCTGATGGAGAGTTTCTAAATGTTTGTGCATCTAATATGTCAGTCAGCTTGGCTTGGTCTTTAAATTGATGTTTTACATAGATATATCCATGTGTACGTATCTGTCTGCTTACGGGTATATATGGGACAAGGAGATCTCTTACCCATTTTACAGACAGCTGTAGTACTAATATTGTCATCCTAATATTCTCTGCTTTAAAGTACTGATGTCCAGAGGATATCTTTGAAGTTGGTACACAAAATTTTCCAAGAGGAAAAAAGCTTGGACAATTGACTAGTCAAAAATTTTGTGATCATGTTCTATTTCAGTATTTTTAGCGTGCATTTCTCTCTCTCCCTTTCATTTTTAAAAGCACAAAGTTTACAAACTAATGTTAGGCTGATACCGATTCTTCTGGTTTTTAATTGTCCAAATACTTGTTTCAGGCATGCTGAAGATGGCTGCAAAAAGAAATATGAGCCATCTGAAGAAGATTCTAAAGACATGCAAAAGACAAATGAGGTACGCATCTCTTAAATATAAACCTTATGATCTTCCTTTTTTACTGTAATAGTACTTGTTCATATGTCTGTACCAAACTGTGTAATATCGCATTCATTCTTATGCTAGCACTTCCTACTAGTTCTTTGAATCACATTAGTGATCTGACATTCCTGTAGTAATGTTTTCTGAATTCCAGTAGCCACTAGAATATACAGTCTATGTATTTGGTGCTGATGTTGTAAAACATGAGATACAGTTTAAGCCCTATTCTGTGAAACATGTTGGGTTTTTTAAAAAAGCAAAGTGGTCTTACATGCAAAAACTTTGAGCTTGATCTATTTAAACTTCTCACTGGGAAGTTAAGGCAAAACAATGTAGTCCAAATGCTAAAGGAAGGAGAATTCTTACAGTGAGAGTTTTTTACCAACAAAGTTATTAACAAAAAATAAGTGATAGTTGAAAGATCAAACGGGAGTCCCTAGATTTATCTTTTGTGGGTTTTGGGGTGTTGTTTGGTTTTGTTGTTGTTTGTTTGTTTGTTTTTTTAAAGAGACATCATAATGACTTTTTAAAGTAACTTAGGGAGTACTTGAAATTGTGATTGTCCATTTAAAAATCCATTAATTTTAGAAAGAAAAATCTTTTTATAAAGAAAAGATACTCAAATTCAAGCAGACTGCTTAAGTTTAACTTCTGTTTCTTTGAATTTTCCCTCAATGGCATAAAGTTGAAATTAAAATGGCAAGTTTCATTTTCTTGCTGACTGTATTTTAGGTGAATTTTCATTACAATGTTAAGTGTGTTCTCTGGTGTATTGTTTTAGGGAGAGTTTGCCCTTGACAATTCTGTTTGGTCATGTAGTGAAGGAATTGGGTAACATTTGCTTACATGTATAAAAACTTTCTTTTGTAGACTTGTGAAAAAAATTCTTCCAAAGAATTGAAGCATAATCATGGGAAAAGTGAAATCTCTAAACAGCTTAGAAGACTTTCAGAATCGGTGCATTCAACTGAGGAAAGCAAAAGTGATTCTAAAGCAGAAAAAGAACATAAAAGAAAAACCTCCACCTCTCTTCAGGTTGAAGGAGCCCAGCAGGAAAGCGAAACAAGGGATCCAAAAAGACAACTGGATAGAGCAGAAGTCAATACTGAAGAACTACAGAGGCAGAAATCCATATTTAAAAATGAAAAACACCCCAAAAAAGATAGTGACACAGAAATTCAACATATGAGAAATGCTGCCAAAAAAGAATCCAAGTCTTACAGAGATAAAAATGAAAAGGAAAAAACTACTTTAGAAGATAAACTTTCTTTAAAGCACAAATATAAAGGAGATGGTGTTCACAAATCGAGTGAAGATGTTGAGCTCCATTCATTTGAGAGAAGTTTGAAAGGAGAGGATGGTGGTCAGAAACATAATCAGCAAGTGAAGGTTTCCTCAGATGATAAATCTGAAAGAAAAAGTAAACACCGAAGTGAACGGAAAATATCGGTAACAGGAAAAGATGGAAAAAATATTTCTGAATCAGCCTTAAAAGCTGAAGAATTGCTGCGTAAGGAAAATAAAAAAGACAGACATCTCTCAACAGAAAAATCAAGAGCAGAATACAAGTCCAAAAGGTCCCTGAGTGATTCTAGGCCACAAAAGGATTCCCTAAGTGCCTCAAAGCAACTTGCTTCTGCATCACACAGAAGGAGCGAAAGCTACTCGGAAGATAAACATGACATAGAATCAACTAACTCTGATTGTAATTTGAAACAAGAAGATGGTGTTCATAAAGACAGACGAAGATCTAAGAGCCTTGTAGAAGACAAGATTTTGTTAAAATCTAAGTCAAAGAGTCATAGTAAGCAATTCAAAGCATCTGAAACAGAATTACAGGAAAATGTAGCAAAACAAGAGACTGGTCATAAACTAGACAAAGATAAGAGCATGGAAGAGAATGACTCAGATAAGCAACACAAATCCAAGAACGAAGACAAAGTTTTTGATGAAAGTGGTGCTGAGTTTGAGCTTGTAAGTGGCACACAGTCAACTCAGGTATCACAAAAAGACTTTAGTCACAGAGTTAAGTTACATTCTGGAGAAAAAGGATCTGTAAAAGAGAAGTACAGAGGTGATAAAGATTTAAGCAATTCCAAACTAGAAAGAAGATTCTCTGCTGAAGGTCACAAAAGCAGAAACTTAAAGCACAGCAACAAGGAAATAAAGAAGAAGGAAGAGAGTATCAAATTGGAAGATAAAGATATTAAAGAAATGGATAGCAGGCAAGAGAAAGTATTGAGCATCACAGTGGCAATGGATAAAAAACAAAGTAAGAAGATAGCCTGTGAAAATAGAAAAGGCAGTATATCAAACCAAGATTTACTCGGAGAGGAAAAGCAATCAGCTAGCACAACTGAAAGCAGCCATGCTCCAGCCCCTCAAAAGTCAAGTATGAATAATGATGACTTGCATTCTGGTCACGAGGAAGAGCTGATGGAACTTGATTTGAAACAAACAAAAGGACAGGAGGCATCTAACATCGAAGGAAAAAACATTCAAAACTCCCTCCAAGCCACAGATGCCAAGTATGCAGCAAAAGAAAAAATATCTCTCTCTATTTCAAATAAGGAATTAAAACACAACTTGGCAGATGCCAAAGCTTGTGAATTACAGTTTCTGCCTGCAGCTGAAAAACCTGTAAAACAAGAAGATATCCCTAATAAACAAGTTGGTGCCTTAGACACTTTGTCCAAACAAGATTCTGTGGATCAAGAACCCAATAAACAAGGGGCTTATAAAATGAGTGTTGTGTATGAAACAAGTGGTAGAATCTTACTGAATGTTCCCAGTAAGGATCAACCTTCAGAAGATAGCAAAAGACCAAAGAATTTAAAAACTGTGATAAATTCTAATTCAGATGATGTTCCTGTAGCAATTAATTCTTCCAGAGAAGATGCTGCTGATGCGAAGTCCATGGATATGGATATCCCAGATGTTACAGATTCTTTGGGTAGCATGTCTAAAGAATGCCATAATTCAGATAGGACTTCGTTATTTGAAGATACTTTCATTTTGAAGAACGATGCAGCACAAGTTGTATACATGGAACATCTTTCTGTCATGAAAGATGATGGTGACAACACAACTGTGACAAACAGTATAGAAAAAGATAATGAGGTTCACCGACCTGATGAACAGGCAATGGAAGACAGTACAGCTGGATTACCTAGTCAAGCAGACTCTGATGAAGCAGCAAAGTTAGAAAGCGCTCAGGGAAGTGAGTTAAAAATAACAGAGGAAGATTTGATGACTGACATAACTGAAGATTCTGGAGATGTAACAACAAAAGAACTTCTCCTAAAAAGAAGAGAAGGAGAGTGCTTGAATACAGATCCTTCTGTGAAGGGAGAAAGAAGCACAATGATGGATAATGTGGAAAAGAACAAGGTGCCTGATATTGATGATATGATACAATCTTCCTCTGTGCTAGTGCCTGAAAGAGTTCCTGATGAAACAATCAAAGGCTCTATTACAGCCAGTGAGCAAGAAGGGAATAGTGTGATTGGCAGGGAAGATAAAAATGAAAGCAATGCAGTAGGTACCAGTGCAGGAAGTAGTAAACTTAGTTTGTTGTACAGCAGCCTACAAACAACTCCAGCCACTGTGATAGGAACTAGCACAGAAAAGATCACTGAGAGTGCTGTAATGGCCACTAGTACAGGCGAAGAAGGACCTGAGGGTGCATCACATTCTGAAAAGGACAGTGATGCTACAACCACTTGCTCAGAAGAAGAAAGTGAGGTGACTGTAATCTGCACAAGCATAGAAGCTGATGAAGGTTTCACAACGGGCATATGGGTAAAAAGTAGTGAGGGTAGCAGTTTTATCACAGGAGCAGATATGGGTGAGTGTACTGTTGCAGCAGCTGAAGAAGGTGGTGGCAGTGTTGTCACTGAAGGATTAGCAGAAAGTGAAAGTTTCCTAACAAGTACAGAAGAAGAAAATGGTGACTGTACCATGGTTGATGCAGAAGAAAGTGGTAAGGATTCAGTCAATGCAAGCGGAGTAGAAATTGAAGACAGTGTGAACAGTGCTGGGGCAGAAGAAAAAGATGATGCTGTGACTAGTGCAGGCTCTGAAGAAAAGCGAAAGACCTCAACTTGTGTAGGTACAGACAAATTTGAAAGTTCTGTATCCTGCTTAGGTGAAGTAGAGAGCGATGGAGCTGTAACTAGTGCAGGGACAGAAACAGGTGAAGGGTCGATGAGTGGTGACAGTTCAGGTGAATTTAGGGGCAGTGTGAGAGCTGGCCCAGTAAAAGAACATGAAGGTACTGTGACTTGCACAGGTGCAGAAGAAAGAGGTCATAACTTCATCATCTGCTCGGTGACTGGTACAGATGCCCAAGGAGAAGGCACTGTAACTGGTGCTTGTATTGCAATGGTCACAAACAATAGTGCCACAACTGGAACTAGTGGTGACAAATCTGAGGATACTGTAAATGGTGAAAGCGCGGTGACCAGCACAGGCATAACTCCAGAAGATGATGCTGAAATTTCAGTAGTCTGCACGGGGCTAGAGGACAGCAATGAGGGGTTTGCAGTTTGTTTAGAAGCTGAAAAATGTGAAAGTCTAATGGACAGTACAAGGGCAAAGGAAGAAGCCAGCATCACTACAGTCAGTGTAGGTCCATGTGATGATGAAGGTTTTGTGACTAGTACGGGCTCAAAAGAAGAGGATGAAGAAGGTGAGGGCATTGTGACCAGTACAGGAAGAGGAAATGAAGAAAATGAGCATGCTTCTACTTGTACAGGAATGGAAAATGAAAATGCGCTAATTTGTATTGGTGCAGAAGAAGGTGAAAGTTCTGTTATCTGCATAGTTGCTGAACAAATGGAAGCTGAGTCAGGAGTGGCTGGCACAAATATAAATAAGCTTACTGTTGACAGTATGACAAGTGCAGAGAAAGAAGCTAATTGTGGCACACACTGCAAAAATGATAAAGGGATTGTTGAAAGCAGTGTAACCAGTGCAAGTGCTGCGGATGAGGGTGCCTTGACTGCACATATAGGAAAGCATGAAAGTAGCTTGATTCCCTTAGATGCCGAGGAATGTGAGGGTCCCATGACTAGTGCTATGGCAGCGCAAGATAAGAGTCAGTCTGGCGCTGAAGACGAACATGAGAATGCCATGACTTCCTTTGACAGCAGAGAACTCGATGCCTCTATAAGTAGTGCAGTTCCAAAAGAAGATGAGAATTCTCTTATTCCTACTGGCAGAGAAGAAAAAGTAAAAGGTGATATCATCTCTACTAGTACAGTGGAGGAAAGTGATGCTCCCTTACATTCAGCCATGGATGCTGAGGAAGGTCCACTTGCTGTTGCAAGAGCAGATGAAAGCGGGGAAAGCTCTGTGATCTTAGTAGATACTGAAGACACCGAAGTGCCTATGCCCAGTACAGCTACAGAGTTTAAAGAGTGTGTGCATACTTTTGGCAGTACACAGGAGAAAGATGAGTGCACTATGATTTCCACCAGTATTGTGGAAGAATTTGAGGCTCCTATGTCAAGTGCGGCTATTGAGTATGATGGTCAGCTCCCCTCCATGAAAACAGAAGAAATAAATGAAAATGCTGTGGTTTCTATAGATATGGAAATATATGAGGTTCCCATGCCTAGTGAATCCAGTGCAGGAGGAGATGATAACAATGATGATGAAAGTCACCCAACTGCTAGCGGTAAGGAAGAAAAAGATGAGTGTGCTATGATTTCCACAAGTGTTGTGGAAGAACAAGTAATCCTAATGTCAGGTGAAGTTACAGAAGAGGCAATTCAACATGTGTCAGACACGGAGTCAAAAAATGAAACTGTAATGATCTCTACGAGTACAGCAGAATGTTTTGAACCCCCTATGTCTAGTGTAGCTATGCAAGATGAAAACAAACTTGCTGCTTCAGAAACAGAAGGAAGATATGAAGCTGCTATGATCACTACAAGCATGACAGAAGAATGTGAGATAGTCTTGATCAGTGCAGCACCACAAGCTGAAAGTCAGCTCATTGTAGCAGAAGGCGATGAAGATGCCATTATCTCTCCAAATGCATCAGAGGAGTGTAAGATTGTGGAGACCACTGCAACTGTAGATGAACAATTTGAACTAGCTGCTTTCAATGCAGATGCAAAGAGCAAAGGTTCTGTGATTTTTGTGGGAGAATGTGGAGCTCCTGTGCTGAGGGTTGCCACGAACAGTGAAGATCAAGATGCTGCTTCAAGTATAGGAGATAAGGAAGAGGGGGCAGTGATCACTTTGAGCACAATGGAAGAATGTGATAGTCTCTTCACCTTTACAGTCATAGAAGAAAGTCAACTTGCTGCTGAGAGTACAGAAGTAAAAGACAAAAGCGAGGAAATGTTTAATACTGCTAACCAGATTGAATGCATCCTATCGACTACAGGCCCAGAAAAAAGCAGTAATTCTTTGCTTGTCATTGGTAGAGACAAGACCCATGAGAGTGATGTGAGGGGAGAATCAGCAGCATCTCAGACCACAGTAGACCGTGAAATCACAGAAACAGATGAAAATTCAGTGAACCTCATGAGTGTAGATGAAGCCCTTTGCGTGGAGATTAGTACGGAGACTGCTCTGAGTCCAGGTCCTTCCTCAGAGGCAAGCGAGGATGATCAGCAAGCTGAAGATGCTTTGCATGAGGATGTTACATCAGAACTCTCTTGTATGATTTCAGAAGCATCAGTAGAGAGTGAAACTGTAAGGAATGTAAACTATAAATTTAACTCAAACTTGCTTTTAGAAAGTGACTTTTCTGAAATAAGGACTCCCCTGCCTAGGGCACAGGCTCTTTCCTTAGTTTCTGCAAACGAAGTGACTGTAAATACCAATCCTGGTGAAGTGACAATAGAAGCAGAATTAGGTGAAAAAAGTGACTTCCCTGTGTTGCATGTAGAAGACCTATACAGTGGTGATGACAAAACGAACTTGGTCAAAATAGATGATATTGGAATTGAAGTTACTTTTCCAAAAAGTAATGCAACCTTTAATTCAGGTGAGGATTTCTTTTTTTTTTTTTTAACCTCTTAAGTTTATAAGCTGTCATAAATAGATGCATTTTTCCATTCTTAAAGTTAGAAGTAACTTACACTGCTCAAATATACCTGACTTCTTTGTTGGTTGTGAAATAAATAATAATATATTTAAGAATTGGTGACAAATATTTAAATAATGTGATTCTGGGAATATAGGAGTGACTGAACACAACTATCTGAGGTGTGTTGGAAAAGAATTAAATGTTTAATTAGACTGCAAAAATTTTTAATACACATTGGCTTAAAATTGTGAGCTAATATACAAAGTGGTTTGCAGGGGGTGATTATCGTGGAGCTACAGATGGGTTTTGCTATTAACGTGTTTTGAAATTAAAAAATGTTTTTATAGAAAAGAGGATGCATTTCATTTAGACATATGTTCAACATTTTTAAAAGGTAACTTCTTAATTTTGAAGGTTAAGAGTGGCCATCCTTAATCATAACTGCAGATTTTGTCTGGATGGTTATTTAATGGTCATATTCAGGTTCACTCTCTTATGCTGAATTTTGTGTTGTCAACACACTTGAAATGGTCCTCCTTTGCGTTACAAACGAATCAGTCATCCTAAATAAATGAGTGTGTTAAGTGAGCAGTGATGATATGGATCGATTTTAAATAGAAGACACAAGTTATGATAATATATGATATTAAGAATATCATATTTTATTTCCAGATCCATTTTTCTGGAAGCTAACTTTGAAAGGAACTTGCATGGTTGTTAGTTCCTAAAATATTGTGTAATGAATATCCTGCTATTTTCAGCCTTTCTCCTCTTTGACCCTCCAGAGTGTTGAAGCACCAAGTTTATGAAAAATTAATAAATTCTGTAGATGCCATAATGAAGTCAAGATTATTACTTCATTATAAATTTTGGAGAAATTAAACTGTATAAAAATAGTAGAGAAATCCACTTATCTTTCTTTATACCAAAGGAAGTGAAATGATGCCGATCAAGTTCTACTTTTAAAACCTTTTCCTTCTCATGTCTTTGCTATTATTTCAGAAAACATTTTATAATATGAGTTTAGGTCCAGTTTCTCAAAGATTGCTTTATTCTCTAGTTTTATTGATATTTGGGGTGAGAAAGCTCACTCTGCAGATTTCGGGATCTTAGGAATTTGTCAAGGAAAGATGCTGATCTAGTAAACTTGAAAAATGTTATTCAGTATTTATACAAGAAACAAACATGAGCCATGAAAATGTAAACTGCTACACAGAGGTATTTCTGTCTTGGTGCTTTGCTGAATACTTGTTGTCCATTGATGTACCCTCTGTAAGTACCAGTGGTAATGGTAGTCTTATTCTGTGGACCACAACCACAATTTAATCACTTCACATGCATCATTACTGAATTATCATGTTATAACTATTTCTTTTTGTTTAGGAAAAGCTGTATAAACAGACTTCTGAAATAGGTATCCAAAAAGGCTGTAGAGATCATATGAAGATGCTGTCTGCATGGCCTGTTTTTCAGATATTATAAGCATACAGGTGTTCCCATGGGGAATGACATGTGTGGGGTTTTAAGATTTTCTGAAATTACATTGACACTAACAGCAGCTACTGAGCTTTCAGTTTCTATAGAAATTGGATAATTTCAGTGGTTGTTATGGTTCTAGAGCTTATGGATTTAGATCTAATTGTCACTAAAAGAAAAATATTATCCTTAGTATTAACTCTGAGCTCTGCATTCATTCATACAGAGGTAACTTGCTGTTTGGAACTTGGTCTGAAAATCTGTTGGTGTTGGGTTTTTTTTAAGTAAGAGAAAAAGCCAAAGTCAGAATTCATAAATAAGCTGTGGTAAATCCCAATAGTGCATATTTCCCAATCCTTTTGTATTTAAGGAAAACATAGAAGTACTTGTGTTCTTGCAGATGCCAAGTTGGGTTTTTTTGAGCTGGTTTGCTGCAGACAGACTTGCTATTGTTTCCGTTGCCTACAGGAAAGGATTAAATTGATGTGCTGTGTTCATTGAGGCAGTACTGAGAAATAGCATCCTACTATAGCATGAGATAAATACAGCATAATGTAATCTAATAATTCTAACATATTTGTATTTCATTAGGCAATAATGCAGCTTTACCAAAGTTGGCAGAAGAACTAGAATTTGAAAGTAACTTGAGAACTGACGAGGTATTTATGTTATTTTGAAAATTTTTTACTATACTGTTTCTTGTATAATTATACATCTTGCTAGGGTTTCTTACTATATCTTTTGATTTTTGTGCAGCAAAAATGGTATTTGAACTTCAAAACATTTGAAGGGTCTTTTTTCAGATTATTCAGCTGTACTTTTCTAAGCAGCTGGCATTTAAATTGTGGGCTGTCCACGTTATTCTGTGGTAGAACCAATTCCCTCCCTCAGCCACGCTCCTTCTGTGACCATGACATCAAAGTTTGCTTTTTTTAGAATTGGTCCTACTGCATGCATGTCGCTTGTGATAATACTTGCAAAATAGCCATACACGCCTTAGCACCTGCAGTTGGCAATTTTTAGTTTAGTGCTTTGAAATAGTAAACATACACTGCTCTTTGTTTCATTGTATCACTTCCTTGCCGGTCTTCAGACTCACCCGTTCTCTGTGTTTGAGGAACACTTGCTGCTGTTGTGTGTTTTGATAACTAAAGCCTGTTATCTGCCATAACAGAAGAGTAGGGCATCCTGGATAATCTGCGGTATTGGGGCTCATGGTCACCTGTAGCTTGTGTAAGACCAAAGTTGAGCCTGTCTGTCTGTGTGTCTGTGCTGTGATCCATACTAGCCAGGATTCCACATGGGTTAATTCTTCATTCAGATGCAGGACTGTATTCATATCTTGCCAAACTCTGATAACGAGCGTTTTGAGGGAGAACATGGTTCAAAGCCTTCCAAGCATCTGTGAAAGGGTGGATCTGCACAGGGCTGCTGGCTGCAGCTCCAGGGCAGACCAGTTGAGTTTCACCTGCAGACAGTTGTGCTGTTTGCCAGCAGAAGATAGTCCTAGAGTCAATATAGCCATGTTCATATGGCACTGTATCTGAGTTTACAGTGTCCAGATCTGACTTAGGTACACTTGGCTCCATAGGGCATTATCTATGCAACAGTAACATATAGCTGATCTGCAACTTGAATAAGAGAAAAACCAACCCCACACCAAAACACATGAGTTGAAAAGAGTTCACTGTACCTTATTATACATTGCAGATACGTATTTTTCTGTATATGTGACCATTTCTAGAATATTGTTTGTATCTGGAACTCAGAGTAAGTGTTGCACCTTGACTTCCTGAGATTTCTCTTGAGATCTCCTTTTTTTAAACTAATCTCTGGTACCAGTGTTAACTCTGAGGTCAAAGTTAGGCACTGTACCGTTCAACAGTAATGTGATCCAGCTCTGCAAGTGTTCCTTATTAATACTTATACTACTGTCTTAAGAAAGCTTTTGAAGACTTTTATAGATCATTGATAAGACAATGTTCATCATGATGTGAGGGAGGGGAGTGAGACATACTTGTTCTGGATGTCTTCAATACTTTTGTTTCTTTTGATTTTGCGTTTAGTCACAACAGCCTGAAAGTCCAAGAAGTGAAGAGGAATATGCGGATGTTCATACTAAAGAATTTCAAAAAGGTGATTTTTATACTGATAACAACTTTTCATACTGATTTGACTATTACTTAAGATGGGAGGCTTGTAGATTTGATATATACTATGTGTAAAGGGTTTGAAGCAAAGCCTGCAGAAATCTTCTTGAAATGTTTCTGAGAGCTCATGTGGCTTTGCATTTGGTTGGTGGGAAAGCAGGAGGGTCAGCCTTTTCTTCCAATGTGCTATACTGAAAGAAATGTGGAAAGCATTTAGGGTTTTAAAAAAGTAGACTGCTAACATTCTGTTTAAAATCAATAAATACAGAAAAACATTTGCCCAGGAAAGATACAGAAACTTCCCCACAGAATAGCTTTCTTCCTTATAAACTTAGAACATCCTTGTTTTGGGTCTTGTGACAGGCCTGGTGAGGATATGACAAGAGCAAGCACTGTATGACTTAGGTCACACATACTTTACAGAAAGAAATTTTTTTTTTTTTAATTCTTTCTTGCTCTCCAGAAGATTAAAATATTTCTGACTATCTACTGAAACTTGAAGAGCGCATATAAGTGGATAACCACCTAGCTAGAAATCTCAGTTAGTCAACTTGTATCTGTGCTCAATAATTCCTTTTCCATGTATTAAATTAATCTTCAATAGGACAAAAAAAATCCCTGTTTCCCAAAACCATGTTTTTTTTTAAAATGTGTTGCAATTGTCTGACTTTCCTATTAAAGCAGAAACAAACCACTACTTTGTTCCTGTCTTGATGGATTTTGTACTCCAGATGCATTACAGAGATGTTTACAACACTACCAGATGAGAGTTAATCCTCAGTTAATGGAGTAACAGGCAAAACTAAAGTGAATTCCAAGAGGTACCAGTGATACTGCTGCACATAGAGTCCAAAGAGGTTAAAGATGTATTTCTTCTTATAGAAAGTTGCAGCTGAAAGCCTAAATGTTATGAAAAGCCACCCTGCAAGCTCACTTCTAGATTTTTAGACATGCACACCAAAATAACCATTTACTGAATAGAAGACAAAAATATCAGTAAGGTGAGATACTAGCATTGGTATAAAACTTTGGATTCCTTTTTATTCTTGGAGTAGGTCAAATTCACATACCTGGTTTAGTACATTCATCTCTGTGATAAGAGACATGCTCTGCTCACAAGAAAGAAAATGTAAACCCTGAGAATGGATTAGGAGAATGTGGTCTTCAGAACAGGAGATCCAAAACTTGAACCAGTTTGTCTGTACTGTGAGGTTTCTTTGAAGCATCTGAAAAACTGTGCCTCTTCACTCAATCTTGCAGACAGACAGGACTTGAAAATGTGCAGATTGAACGAGCTGTGATAATCTTTTTCCATGTAAAATGTTTAATGAAAATCCATTTGTTGTGTAAATAATGTTGGATATGACACACATTGAAGAATAATGCTTTGTAGCTCTTGGTAGAGAGGTGTTGTGGTTTTTTTTTCTTTTTCTCCCCACTACACAATAATCTCTATATATATGTATATATACATGCATATATACATATAGCTCAACGTACGTAAAAGGAAGTTGTTTAAAAGACAAATGTGTGTCCTGTCATGAGTATGAATAGCAGACACAGTAGTTTAGTAGTCCAAGATTCCTTGGTATGTAAACAAATCATTGCTGTTTGAGTGGGTAGGATCTAGCTCTTCATTTGACACTGCTTTAAAAATTGAAATATGTTGTCCAACTAAACAGTGTAGCTGTGGAAGAATTGTTGCTAAAACATGTAGATTTAAGAAATTAGCTACAAATTATATAAAATTGTACGTAGAATTGAGTGCTTTTATTGGATCATAGGTTTATGTTCTTACTGTAGCTGGAGGGAAAACTGCTTGGAATGTTTTAGCAGCTTTTTTTTTTAATTAAAATATTAATTGCCCTTATGAATGAAACTTTAAGTCTTTTGTAGAACGCTCAATGGAGCACCTTTTTTATGATTCTCTTTCTATGAAATGGCTTTGAAACTTAAGGATTTTTTTTTGAAAGTGCAGAGTGCTCATCCACTCCCATACTTCATAATTATTTTCCACATTTTTGTGATATGGAAGGCTAAGGCTCTACTTTTATCAGAGTTAGAGTACAGTAGAGTCTAGCAATTGGACAATTTCCTCATATGCACTGTATCAGCTACAGGTCTCACTAGTACAATTATGTAAACTTTAGTTCTCTGGAAGCATAATGTTACAGCATAGTTTCCTCATATTTTACTTCATCCCATGATCCAGAACCTTGGGTTGTGATGGGTAAAAATCTGATTCAGATGCTAGAACTATATTTGAAATGTCAAAGTTACCATATTTTTCAAAGGTGATAGCCCTGTGATTGCCTGTATTTTAGCCATAAAATGATTCTCAGTTATCCTATGCTTTAGAAATCCATATTTTTTTCTTTTTTTCTTTTTTCTTTTTTCT